AAGCCCTGAAGTGTCTCCTGAATCCTAAAAAAAAAATGTTGTTCAGTTTGGTTTAATGCTTAATTAAAACAATTGGCTTTCTAAAATACCAGTGTTATCAGAGACTTTTTTTTTTTTTTTTTTTTGGCCACACCGCATGGCATGTGGGATCTTAGTTCCCTCATCAGGGATCAAACCCGTGCCCCCTGCAGTGGAAACACAGAGTCTTAACCATTGGACCACCAGGGAAGTCCATCAAAGACTTTTTTGAAAAAGGGTGAGGAACTGTTCTAGAGTAAAGGAGATTAAAGAGCTAACAATGCAAACACAATCCTCCAATGGATCTTGGGTTGAGAAAGCAAAAGGCTATGAAAGGCTATTACTGGAACAACTGGGGACCTTTGTATGTAGATTGTTTGTGGTATTGTATTAGTATGCAATTTCTAATTGGGATCATTGTTTCATGGTTACTGGAAGACTGTTGCATTCTTAGGAGACACAGGCTGAAAAACGTAGGGGTAAGGAGTCATGATGTCTGTAATTAGGTCTCAAATAGTTCAGCAAAATACACATAGGAATTTAGGTGAAGGGTGTGTTAGTGGTCACTGTGCTATTCTTGTAGCTTTCCTGTAGTTTTGAAATATTTCCAAGTAAAAATTTTGGGGGGAAATAGCATTCATATAAGTTTCTCCAGTTCTCAGAAAACTAGGAATCCGATAAAGGCATGTTAGACCGCTTTTCATATACTGGATTGTTTCATTGACCAGAACACTTGTCGTCTTCATCCTTTCTGAAGGAAAGAATTTGCCAAATCTTTCCCACCACTACAGTAATCCCTGGCATTTTGTATTTTCCAGGTGCCTCCACATCCATCATATTACATTTATTATCATAAATAGTCCCTATAGATAAAGAAATTTGTGCCTGTAAATTCCACAATCACGATGAACTTTTTGTTTTTAATGGCTCACCATATGCCAGGCACTGTTCTGTGTGTTTGACACGAATGAGTGCATTTCATCCTCCCAACCACTCTTAGGGGAGGTATTACTGATAGTTAATTCCACTAGGGGATTGTAAGTAAAGAAAAAAGTATGGGAGACCCCTGTAATAATCACTTAAGAAAGCAGGGTTTTAATAATCACTTAAGAAAGCAGGGTTGCAAAACCGAGCAGCCTTGCTTAGCAACAAAACCCTGCAACATAAGCACGGTTTCATTACTATCATTCTCATTTTCAGAAAAGGAAACTGAGGCACAGAGAGGTGGTATAATTTGCCCAAAGTCACACAGCCAGGGAGGGTGGAGTGACAGAGCAGTGTGGCCCCGGGCCCTGCAGTGTCACCACCAGCCCCCTGACCATGTGCTTCACACTGTGAGCTGGATCGTCTAAGTTTGTTGGAGCTGCCATTCCAGAAGGAGGGCTTCTGGTCCTCAAATTTTGCTTTTCTCTGAGGGGTTCCGGGTGTATGTTCATAGGAGAAAGGGTACTCCTTGAAAGAGGGAACAACGACAACAGCAAAACTACCATCTTTGAATGCTCATATGGGCCAGGCACAGGCAAGATGCTTTCTGCCTGGTTAGTCCTCAGAACCCTTCTGCGGGGTAAAACTATTATTATCTTCATTGGACAAAGAGGAAACGGTGGAGCCAGGCTTTGAACACAAGCAGTCTGACCCCGCAGCATTGCCCCAGCCCCCCACCCAGGCTGCCTTGCCTCTACCTGTCATCTCAGTGGGTCTGAAGATAACAGGTATAGAATGTAGCCTGTGGGGTGATGGGCCTCACCCATCACCTTGTCCACCCCCTCAGTTCTCAAATGGGGACATTTCAATGCTGAAGAGGAGGAGGAGTGGGAGAAGGAAGATAGAGGAAGAAAACATTGCATCCTTCCTCCTTGGGGCTTTTCATCTGGCCTGTGACATTCCATTCCCACCCCTCTAATTTGCCATTTCATTGAGCAACTTTTTCTAATTGAATGCACCTGGGCAGAAACCTCCCCATATTGACCCTGGTCAGTGCTTTGTCTTTTTTTTTCTTCTTTTGTGAAAAATACAAGGGGAGCCCATATTTCTTTGAGGTGGAGGTGCTTGGTGAAGTTCCCAAGCGGAACAGCCAGCCCTCCAGAAACTCTTCTGCCTTGGCGCTGTGTTGAGCTCACCTGCCTCCTTGTAGGACAGCCGGCTTGTAGCTGACCTTGGCCTGGAGACCCAGGATGACTCTGCTCTGAGCATGGCAGTCCCAGCTAGGGGCGAGGCAGAGGTATCCTTCAAAAGGCCCTGCTCACCAGGAGCCACCTTCCCCAGGGTGCAAGTGTTCCCCTTCCTCAGTAAACCAACAACTAATAAGTCAATTCGCACTCATGAAGGAGCACAAGAGGCAAGAGAATAAAGTAGTTAAGAGCATGAATTCTGCAGCCGGACTCCCTAGGTTGAATTATGCCTCTACCACTTATTAGCTTTGTGACCCTGGGCAAATTATTTAGCCACTCTGAGTACAGGTTTCCCTTTCTATAAAATGGGGGGAAATAATAATATACTTCTGAAAAAAGTAAAAAATACTGGTGATTTACTGTCTCATCAAAGATGCACAATCTTCTTAACTGAACAGTCCTACTCAATAATTCTGAAAGTAAAGAAACATCTTCCTTCAGGACAGATCTGGTTTCTGGTTGTGTATTTAACTTCAAAAGCTACATTTTTTAGTCCCCCTAAAAGCCCTTTACACTTCAACATCTTTGCCTCCCCATAACTTCATATCTAATCTTTATAATTTTAGATTCATTGTTCTCCTTAACAAAAGAGTGCAATGCAATGGTTAGTTAACTAAAGGAACTTCTTGTTTGTATTTTTGAAGAGAGTAGACGACTTGCAAGATCAGACAAGGTATACAGCACACATTCACGCTGACACAACAAGAGCTGTTGAATTTAAAAATTTATGCAGATTACTAATAAACCACTTTTCATCTCGCCAGTTGGTAGAGGTGCTTTTTTTTTTTTTAAGTAGATATCTAATGTTTGTTCATTAGATTGGTTCAGCCTTTCAGCAGGGAAATTTGGTAATAAGAACTGTATCAAAAGCCTTAGAATGTTTCATAACCTCAGATTGAGAAATTCCACTTCTAGAAATTAATTCACTTCTAGAAATAATCATGAGTGTGCACAAAGATATTACCACAAAAATATTTTACAGTATTATTTCTAATAGAGAAGAACTAGAAACTATCTAAATTGCCAACAATACAGGTTTGGTGAAATACATTATGATCTATTCACTCAATGGCATACTAGGAAGTCATTAAAAATATGTTGTAGAATATTTAATGAGATGGAAAATGTGTTGACAGTATACTTTTTAGTGAAAAAAAACAGCTTACAAAACTTTGCAGAATGATCTCATTTTTAAAAATATGTGTTTATTCAGAGAATAATTTTAGAAAAATAAACATTGACATTTTAAAGGGTTATCTGGATGGTGCGATTGTAATTATTATTTCCTTTTTTGTGTGACTTATCAGTATTTTCTGTTTTCTACAATGCAGATGAATATTTCCATGGTATGAAAACAACAAAATATTATTATATAAAAAAGAACAATTCATTGAGAAAATGCTTAACGCAGAGCTTGGCTCTTATATAGGGTGTCATTTCTCTAGTAACTCGCTTCCTTAGCGTCTCCTCTCCTTGGAGGACCTCAGGAGAGGCAGGGATCCCCAAGGCCTCCTCCCATTTGGAGCATTACTGGAGGCTTGTGGTTTGCCTCCTGGTCATGTGGAATCCAGCTCTGGACAAACTGAAAAGTCCCAAAGTTTGGGAGGTAGAAGAAATGGCAACTGGAAGATTTTATATAGAGTCTGAGCAAGAAACTCCTCCAAAAAGGAGCTAGTTTTGGACTTCCATGGTGGCGCAGTTGTTAAGAATCCACCTGCCCATGCAGGGGACACAGGTTCGAGCCCTGGTCCAGGAAGATCCCACATGCTGGGGAGCAACTAAGCCCGCGGCCACAACTACTGAGCCCGCATGCCTAGAGCCTGTGCTCTGCAACAAGAGAAGCCACCACAGTGAGAAGCCAGCCCCCTCTCACTGCTACTAGAGAAAGCCCGTGTGCAACAACGAAGATCCAACGCAGCCAAAAATAGATAAATTTAAGAAAAAGAAACTAGTAATATATATATATATATATATATATATATATATATATATATATATATATATAGCTAGTTTCTCTGCCCATGTTTTCCTCAGACAGAAACTAAGGCCGACTTCAGGGTTTGTCCAAGGCCACAAGGCCAACTTAATGACAAGGTGAGGCCTTGAAGCCATGGCCTTTCCGCCCTGTTGTATTTCTAAAATGTGCTGATTTAGACTATCTCTTCTCACACTTTAATATGCACAGGAATCACCAGGGATCTTGTTGAAATGCAGATTTTGATCCAGCAGGTCTGGGATGGGCCTGAGGGTCTGCATTTCTAATCAGCCCTCAGGCGATGAAGATGTTGCTGGTCTGGGGATCAGTTTAAGGAGCAATGGTGTAGAGCACAGATTCTAGAGCCAGGTCATCAGCTTCCCAATCCTAGCTCTGCCGCAGACGAGCTATTATTATTGTACTTGTTTTCTCAACTGCAGAATCAGCATGACTTAACTCATAGCTTTTTCGTGCAGATTTAATAAGTGCTTAGAACACTCTTCACCAAGAACTAGCTGTTTTGTTATTATTCATATTCCCTAGAGCAAGCAGCCAAGGGCGAAGCACGGTGTGACGAATGAATGAATGAACTCTGGAGTTCTTCCTGGGCGACTGGAGTCAGAGAAGCAAAACGGGAGGCCTCGGAGGTGGGGAAGAGGCCCACCTCGAAAGAACTTCTCTCCACCGGGTGGTCAGAAGGACCCGGAGCGCCCGGAAGCCGGCCGGCCCGCGCCCCGCAGACCAATGCGGCCGCCCGGGGGGAGGGGGAGCGCCCGCCAGCCTTTTCCGTCTGGGCGCCGGACGCCCCGCCCCCTGGAACGTCGCGACGTCCGAGCATTCCACGGTTGCTACTCGGTCGCGAGGGGCGGGGCGCCTGTCAGGGAAGCGGCGCGCTCGGCGGCGGGGGCGGGCTGAGGCTCCGCCGCGCAGTGCCAGCGCCAGCGCCAGCGCCAGCACTAGACCCGCGCCCCACGCTCTCCGGCCCGCCGCCTGCGTTCTGGCTCGCGAGCCCGCACTCCCGCCCTGTCCGTGCGCTGCCCGAGTATGGAGCTGCTGTGCTGCGAGGGCACCCGGCACGCGCCCCGGGCCGGGCCGGACCCGCGGCTGCTGGGGGACCAGCGTGTCCTGCAGAGCTTGCTCCGCCTGGAAGAGCGCTACGTGCCCCGCGCCTCTTACTTCCAGTGTGTGCAGAGGGAGATCAAGCCGCACATGCGGAAGATGCTGGCGTACTGGATGCTGGAGGTACCGCCCGGAGGGTCTCCCCTCCCCCGCCACCCCGGCGTCCCCGGCTCGGCACATCCTGGTCCCAACAACAATCAGCAAGATGTTTCTGTGGCGCAGATCCCCGGGGCCTGGCCTTTCACTCGTGCACCCTACCCGGCTGCCTCCCTGGTGTCCCTTTCTTTCCCTTCTCCAACCCTGACTTTGACTGCCAGTTGCTTGGCACCCCAAGTAACCCTCTCTTCGGGCCGGAAAAGCGGGACAAGGGCCACCCTCTCCCCTCCGGCTTCTCTCAGCGTCTCCCGCCTCGCTCCCCCGCCCGGTCTTCTAGGGAGAGCGCGCCTGGAAAACGCTGGGCTCGGCCGCCCCCGCCGCAGAGCCGGTTCCTGTGTGTCGCGGGGTTCTGGCGGGGAAGGCGGTGGGGTGGCGCGCTGTTCCGGCAGTCAGGGAAATGAAAAGTGCGGGAGGCAGCCGCTGGCGTCTCCTCCCTTCCCTTTGGGTGTGTGCACTGGGTGGCGGTAATGGGGTTTAAGGTCCCAGTTCTCTGGCTCCCGTGGGTGACTCTTCCGTCCCCTCTCACCCTCGGTATTGGTGGGGGGGGGCAGTCTCCGTTTGGAATCCTCAAGGGAGGAAGCCTCTGGCGTACCCCGCTTCCCCCCACCCCCGGGGGGAAGGAGGCACCACAGAGGAAGTGGAGGGGGGACGACACCTTGGGGAAGGCGCATCCTGCCTATTAGTCCTTGTCACTGTAAGTACACCTACCCCCTCCCGATTCTTGCTCCCTATTCCACTTCAGCGCACCTTCAGCGCACCGCCCCCCCCCCCTTAGTGCTGCTGCGTTTCCTTTGCCTCTGCCCCAGAAGTGACTGTGCGCCCTCCCCCAGGTGTGTGAGGAGCAGCGCTGTGAGGAGGAAGTCTTCCCCCTGGCCATGAACTACCTGGATCGCTACCTGTCCTGCGTCCCCACCCGCAAGGCGCAGTTGCAGCTCCTGGGTGCGGTCTGCATGCTGCTGGCCTCCAAGCTGCGCGAGACTACGCCCCTGACCATCGAAAAACTGTGCATCTACACCGACCACTCTGTCTCTCCCCGCCAGCTGCGGGTGCGTGCATAATCCTCCCCACCCCCCAACACACACTGCCTCCTCACTTACCAGGAAAAGGAAAGCTAAGACCCTCAAGAGGCTTTCTGTCCCTGGGGAGGGTAGCAGAGGCTTTTTTTTTTTTTTTTTTTTGATAAGAGATGGGACAGTGTGGTGTGATGGTCAGGGTAGCCCCTAGCCCAGGCTTGCGCTGCCAGCATGAACCAAACCCCTTCTCCTGACCTCCAGTGGGTGCCACTCCTTCCTGGTCTTTCCCCCAGATAGCAACAAGTCAAGCTGCATGTCTACACTCACTAGTACTTTGCCTCTGGGTTTACACAGCCACCATGAGTTATTTATTGGCAGCAGCAGGACATGCCTACGCACCCCCCCTGGAGTGGGGGAGTGGAATGTGCTTCTTGTGGGGGAGGGGGGCCGCCCTGGTTGAGTCTTTATCCCAGTGTGTGGACTTTGTGATCAAAAAGCCTCCCAGAGCAGATTATAGCCAGGGTTGCTGTAAGGAAGGGCCAAGGCGTTTCATCCCACCTTCTTTCCTTCCTTTTATATCCCAGGAGAAACAGCTCCTTCCTAATTCTCCGTTCGCTAGCCTCACTCTGGGAAACTTGAGCAGCTGCTTCAGGCCTGTGGAATCATCTCTTCTTTTCCTCTTTAGCCAAAGGCCAGAGCTGAGGCACAGACTGGGGCTGAGCTGCAGCTGCTTCCGATGTGATAATGATGCCCTGTCCCCTGGCCCACCCACTCTGACCAAGGTCTTTCATAACACTGTGGGGAGCTGCTGTCACTCCTGTGGTTTGGGAAGTGGCTCCCTGGGCCTCTTGCTGGGAACTTGGGCTGGGCTCTTCCCGAGGCAGGACAGGGGAGACACCGGTTCTCTTTCCCCACTGAGCCTGGAGAGGAGGTGGGGGAGCTGCTTGGATCTGGAAGAGGTTATTTAGGGCGTGCAGATCGTCTCCCGAGGGGCGGGGGTGGGGGGAGACGGGTGAGCTGGCACCTTCCTCCACCTTGCTCTACAGCGGCCCAGTCTTCTCTTGACCCGGAGAGGAGTCTCTGGGCCCCATCTCCCGGGGAGGAGGGCAGCGTGCAGGCTGCCGTGATTGGCTGGCCAAGAAGCCAGGGTACTGGGGCCCCCGAGTGCTGCTTGTCTTGTCGAGGAACGGGATTCCTCTTCCTGCCAAGTAGCTCTCGGAGATGGGAGTAGGAGGCCGGAGTTGGGAATCCGGGAGGCCCCACAGCTCTTTGTGATGAATCTGGTAGTTTTTGGCAAGTCTAGTTTTTGGTAGTTTTTGGCAAACCAGTGGAGCTGGTTTTCAGGGCTAATGAGCAAGATGTGTTTGGAGGGGTTTAGGCTAGAAGGTAGAAGGGGACTTCCTTGTTGTGGAAAGATTAGGATGGGGTGTGTGCCTTTATGTGAGGAGAGTTTTTCAGAACAGGCCAAAAGTCCTCCCCATGCCTGAGCTGGGGGGTGGAGTGTGCCGATCAATGACTTCCTAGGTCAGAGTTGGAAGGGACCTCAGAGAGCTCCAGTCAGTCCAAATCCTCATGCCACAGAGAAGGTTGGGGCCCAGAGAAGGAAGGAAGGAAAGGTCCTGCCTCAGCATCGCACTGAGGCTGAGGAGAATTTGGATGTTCTAGCACTCAGGTGGCCTTAGAGGTTAGGGATGTGATGGAAGCTGCCAGGGGTGTGTTCTTGGCCAAGTGAGGGCTGAGATTCTCGGGGGCTGCCCTGATACAGGGTAAGGTGGCTGCCCTCCCTCACACAGGACCCTATGCCTCCCCACAGGGAAAGCCCCACTCCAAGTTGCCTTCTAGATGTTTCCTTGGATGCTAGGTGCTTTCTGTTCACTTCTTTTTTTTCCCTAAAGGTTTCTTTTTTAAAAAAATAATTAATTAATTAGGCTGCATTGTGTCTTCGTTGCCACATGTGGGCTTTCTCTGGTTGCAGCGAGCAGGAGGAGTTATACTCTTCCTTGCGGTGCACAGGCTTCTCATTGCGGTGGCTTCTTTTGGTGCGGAGCACAGGCTCTAGGCACGCGGGCTCAGTAGGTGGGGCTCACGGGCTCTAGAGCGCAGGCTCAGTAGTTGTGGCGCACGGGCTTAGTTGCTCCGCGGCATGTGGGATCTTCCTGGACCAGGGCTCGAACCTGTGTCCCCGGCATTGGCAGGCAGATTCTTAATCACTGCACCAGCAGGCAAGTCCCTCTGTTCACTTCTGAGTTGGGAGTTTGACCACTGGGACAAGCACTGGGAGTAGAATGCTAGCTTCTCTGCCCAGCTTCTTCCCGCTCCAGGCTGGGCTGTCTTCTATGGGGCTCTGTGAGAGGTTCAAGAGGATGACACCTAGGTGGGGGCCAGGAGAGGGACAGCTGTGACTGGGGGCCCAAAAGAGGTTGGATGGGGTTGCCATTTCTACCTCAGTAAGGGGTCAAACCCATGAGTTCCTTCCTGAGATAAAACAATGAAGAAATCCTCATGTGTGCAACTCAGAAATGGGGCCAGGGCTGGGAACCCCAGATGAGTGGATTGGGGTGGGGCTCCCAGCCTCCCTCCAGGACCTAGCAGTGGTATAGAGGCTAGGGCAGGCAGAGAGATGGTTTGATCCCTCAGGGATCATCTGGACCCATCCTGTTTGGTTTGGCCTCCACTTCTCTTCCTAAGACTCAAATGGCACTAGGCACTATGGGTTCCAGCCAAAGAGGTGGAGTGGGGTGCTCTCTCTCAGCCCTACACCCCAATGTCCCACCAAGGGGATGTGGGTTGGGTTGGGCAACCTCCACTTTGAGGAACCTCAGGGTTGGCTCAGCAGCTGTGTCACAGGAGGTGTGGCCTCATGCTCACCCCAGTTGCTTCAAGAGGTGTGGACTTGGATGGGAATGCTGAGTTGGGGGCAGGCTACTGATCTCTCCTTTCACAGATCCTTGGGATTATGGAGAGTCTTTCTGGTTCATGCCAGAGGAGCCTCAAGTTCATGGTGATGGTGGTGGTATCTGCTGCTGCAGTCTTTTCTTTCAACCCTGGCTGGAGAAGTGCTCAGAGCCTTGCAGGAAGTCAGGAGAAGGCCTGGATTACTGGATCCCAAAAGATAACCTAGCAGGATTAAAAGAGATTAATTCATGTAAAGCATGTAGTTCTGGCATCTAGGAAGTGATCAGTAGGGCTCAAAGCAAGTGCCCCCACCTCTTCCCTGCCACAGTGCCAGTCCTTAAATTCAAAAGCAGAACTGGGGTCCTGACCTTCAAGTGTGATGGGCTTCCCTCCCTGTGAGACCTCTGCTTTACTCCCTCCCCTTCCTTTCTTTAGCCACTGACCCTACCCTCTTCCTCAACCTCCAGGACTGGGAGGTGCTCGTCCTGGGGAAGCTCAAGTGGGACCTGGCCGCCGTGATTGCCCATGATTTCCTGGCCCTGATTCTGCACCGGCTCTCTCTGCCCCGTGACCGGCAGGCCTTGGTCAAGAAGCACGCCCAGACTTTTTTGGCCCTCTGTGCTACAGGTAAGAGTCCTAAACACATTTTTACCAAGCCAGGGAAATCAGAAGACTTGGAAGGGTGAGTGGTAACCAGGAGATTCTGGTTTCTTGAACTGAAATATTGAACAGATTTCTGGTTTCTTAAATTTTTTCTCAAAATTTATTTGTGAAAATTCTATTCCCTCTGAGCCCCCAGTCTCAATACAGAAAAGCAGCAGAGCTGTATGGGATCTCAAGAGACCACCTCCCCACCCCCCAAGTATGTAGGTGGGTCACTGAGAACTTAGAGAGAAGTCACTTGCCCAGGGTCTTACAGTGACTAAGTTGAGAGCAGAAACCAGGTCTCTTAACCCTGATTTTGTGTCCACACCAGGAAGAGACTCATTCACTCCCTGGTCCCTGGCCAGGATCACTTACAGACCACCCTGGACCTGACCCTCTCCAGGAAAGAGCCCCTTTCCTGCCTTTCTCCCCTGCTGCTATCTGACACCACTCGCTGCTGGGGTTTTCAAGAAGACCCCTGCTCTGTTCATACGGCCTGGCACTTTCTGGGTAGTAGAAGGTGCATGCTGGTTGTTATCCTTGAAACCACCCTTGCCTCATGGTCCCCTCTCTTTCCAAGATTACACCTTTGCCATGTACCCGCCATCCATGATTGCCACGGGAAGCATTGGAGCTGCAGTGCAAGGCCTGGGTGCCTGCTCCACATCTGGGGATGAGCTCACAGAGCTGCTGGCAGGGATCACAGGCACTGAAGTGGTGAGTGCTGGGCAGCTGCGCAAGTGGCCTCAGTTCACAAGGCAGCGCTATTCC